ACCACATTCGAAATTTTCATTCTTCTCATAACAGCCTAAAGGAACATTTGATGAACACCGGCACGAAGAATTCCCTTCACTCAACTAATCCGCCATGTAATTTGCGCTTCGGTGACGAGCCTGGCTCCCAGCAATTTCGCCTAAGAGAAGTGAGAACAGGGATCACGGCATAACAGAACACCGGGCCGTCGTGGTGTGGTGGCAAGTGGTGTCGCATATCATTTTTCAATTTATTACACGTTCTTCACATGTGCTAAATATTATATCATATCATACGCTTAATCGGGGATCAAACCCTACATAGAGTATCGCTCGGGTCAACTAAAGCATCTATCCTTGTAGTGTTGGTTAACCGATACCATGCAGCTAATCAAATGAAATTTCTGATTTACACATCGCCAGCCCCTTCAAATCATCGTGTGGACCGCATGACAGCCAAAAGTCAGTAGGCGGTGGAGGACCGCAGAAGACGTAGTGCGTCATACTCAGGTAGACTTGCAGGAGAAACCTCCGAGTTACGGGCCGCAGCAGTGTCGGCAGCATATGCTGCCGCACGCCCACTAGTCTATGACTGGCTGGCTCGTGTCTGCACACAGAAACCCGTGTGGTGGTAGCCAATCACGGATGAGTGGGCGTGTGCTGCGGCCCCTTACTCGAAGGGTTCCCGTGCAAATCTACCTGAGAATGATTTGTTGAACGCCGAATGCTCTTTCAATTAAATGGGACTACGTAACGCAGGATAGCTTCATGCTCTCGTATGGCATGAGACCTAACTAGTCGTGACTACACGACAGCGATCTGCAGAGCTGCACAAGCTACAAAATAGTAACTGGGCGATCGTGGGAAAAAAGCAGATATCAATCACGGTAGATTGTAATCTAGCAACTTTTTGCAACTTCATGAGGTATGGGCTGTTGTTCCAAAACCAGGAGCAGATACGGTATTTCTGGCCGACCAGTAACGATAAAGAACAAGTAAAGCTGCCAAAACCTTTAAAATAACAATGCACTGGTCGTAGTATGGCGCTTTAATCACTGGCACTGGCCAGCTTTGATATGGTAGAATACGGTGAATGACTGAGGGCCGACCACTGGGAAGGTGCCAACACTAATGGTAAGGGTCAGGGTAAAAATTGTGTCGAGGACGTGGTTGCAGAAGTACGACCCCCCCCCCCCCCGGAATAGGAGGTGTTGGCACGACCCCTTAAGAACAGAACATACGCAAAGCTTTTATCAGGCAACATTAGATTGCTACGAAAGCCTCTCACTCGGGATGTAGTCTTCTAAAATCCGTCGAGGCAGCGTCGAGGATGCTGAAATTTTCATGCGAGTTTTTGCCACTTAAAAGGCAATATCTCTAATTTCGCAAGATCTTGAAAAAACGAAGACAGTTTTGGAAAGCGGAAGGTTTGCGCTTTCTAACAGTATGTTTAGCTTCCTTCTACATTCTCTAGTTGAGAGATATTTGCGTCGAGGATCTATCGAGGATGATTCTCGGCCGCTCAAAAAGCCGCTCCCTTCTTCACCATTGCAAGTGTAATTCGTTGGCAACGCTCGAAATGTGTCTAGAATACATTCTTCCAACATAAGCAATAAGAAAAGGGGCAATCGTCATCATCCGATTTGTCTGGGTATAGGCCATGCATCCGACCTCACTCGAAGTTGCAGAATCGATTGAAAGGTGTGATCATGACCAGTTGACAGAAGCTGCATTGTAGTAAACACATTTCGTACAACCTAAGAACAACTTCATTTGCCCAGGGCTTTTCCTTCACGGTTGTCGTTTTTGCGACAGGGTAACAACAGTGTCATTCTCAGCGAGGTATTAAGGGAAGAGGGCGGTAGATAGAGGAGGTGCCTTTGCAGCGCGTGTGCACATGTGGCAGTCTTCTTTGCGGGGATGCACTTTCATTCTTTGTACTGCTTTCAAATCCTTCTCATAAAGGTAGAGGAATGGAGCGACTGAACCTGCAAAGAATATTTAATATCATGTTTTTTTTTCACATATTTCATTTTCTGCTGCGCTACACCCTCTTACTCCTATCTGCACCACGATGCCACTGATGTTACTGACCCCCACGAGTACGACCCCCATGACCCAGCCCTGACAAGTACGACCCCCTGTCGAGGATTTCCTCGACCGATATTCACCCTGTCAGGTTGCTTTCGCCCCTACGACCTGTGCAGTGTAGCCTTGAAAGTTTTAGTAACTTTTTTTGCGTTCGCCGACCCGAAATACCATATTTATTTTCATTTACGAAGGCAGCGAACCACGCATGCACAATCGCGGAATGTGTAGTTTGTTTGGAAGAGACTGACCTCAGTGAATCGTAGCGTATTGTTCAAGTTCCGCACGAAATGTGACGTGTCGCGCTCCGAATAGAGTTCCACAACGTTCTCCTCGGACATTACTCTACTTCCACCCGGTACTCCAGCCTTAAAATAACAATAACCGTTTTCTGCTGCATTTCATCTAATTCCTTCAATTGGCATCAGATGTTGAGAAGAAAATCGACAAATAATATCTTTGTAGGACACACCATTCTTTATTTCAACGTCTAGGATCTTTTGAACGACAACGACAGGTGGGTCGATGGTGACCGAAAGAAGTGTAGTACGCAGATCATACAAAATTCGCGATTTTTCTTGCTTTAATGATTATTACAATGTATGAAGTTAGCTTCCACCTCTTCATAAATGGCAATCAGTCAGTTCACTGTGAAGCCCACTTCAAAACCAAGCTCTAATCCACTGTTTGTAGCTTTCCCCTCAGGATGTGAACCGATACGCAAATCGCAGCGAAGCGAAGGACACGCTCGTGGCAACCTAACATGGCCCTTCTGGCGGCACTATGGGTGTGGTATGCTCGTCGATTGGCTAACCACTTGCCGCATGTCTGGAGCCGTTTAGCAGAGAGAGAGAGAGCGTTAGCGTTGAAGAGGGCAGCACCGATGAGAGTCGCATCAATGCGGAAATCAACGGGCAAGGAAGGGGTCCCATTTCTCGAGTTCTGAGCCGTTTTTCATGGTTTTTCTTCATCCCGGCACCGACTAGCGCTAACCTAAATCTGATGGACTACCTTCTCATCGTGAACTACGTCTTCAAAGAGTCGCACACCCTTTTATCTCCATCCCTTCCAAAAATTCGAGAGTTCAAGTAGAGGTCATCATGAAATTTCGGTTAACTTAGCCAAAACTTCAATGGTAACAAATTTCTTTTGGATTCTGAGGTATTTCGACGCTTAAGTCTACTGCTTGAAGGCACGCCTCGGGATTAAGCACACCCACCCGTTCCATGCCCATAAAGTAGCCGCACAAGCGTTGATGTCGCGTCCCTTTTGCGGCTCGTAAGTGCGCGATAAGCGCTGGAAGCTCGCTCCTCAACTCCATCGTTCGCAAGCCCCGCTTTCCGCGGTCAGCTGTGACGTAACGCTGTATGGAAAGCGCGGCGGGGTTGCAGCAACGGTTCCATTGCGGTTCAATGTCACTGACACTAAGCAACTGGAGCAACTCAATCCGTGAAACTCCAACACATGGAATGCGGCTGGAATAAAGGGGACACTTATTGGGGCGTAATCTGGGGCTTCTTGCTTTCTTCTTTTCCAGATCAGCCCCCACATCCAGCTCCATTAGCGAACACTCTTCCACACCTATTTTATCCCGAAACTTGCCTTTTAATATAACCGAAGTGGAAGGACGTAATGATACATGAATAATGAAGCGGCTTGGAACATGCCTTGCCCGTCTACGCGCAGGAAAAACGCGCTCGTATCAACATATTCATGATTATGACCGTGTGACGACAAGATGTCATATCCCAGACTCGTGATTTACCGTTTTAGATCCTTAACACTTCCAAGGGAGCTTCTTCGTAATTTGTAGAACTTTGCCTTTGTAATTTGTAGCCATGCCTTGAGATTGTTCCAAAAAACACGTCCCTTAAAATACTTTTGTTTGTTGAATTATCGAGTTTTTGAAGAATTGGATCAAAATCATTACAGAGTAGACAGGGTGGCCACCAATCCTCTTCGCGACATTTCCCCAAAACCTTGCACAAGATGAACTTTGCGTGAAGTTCCTGTCAGCTGAGCTGCCCAGAGATCATATCGTTTGGAAAAGTGACCGCATAGACCTGCTCACGCAAACTGACTAGTTTACGCTGTACAAAGTGAGGTGAAGACGAGCACTTGCTGCCAGCATCATTGAGAGGTTATTGGATTCAAGAAACCAACGTTTACCGTTCATGCCAGAAACGCACTCGATTTCATCTATCAACACGCTGCGGTAAGCTCATTCCCTGGAAGACTTCGTCCCTTACGAAACAAATAGTGGCTACTTGGAAGGGTGTGTTCTTTTTTGTTCACTACCCTTCAATATATACATACACTGCGTCCCATAATTATAACTCCACCTAAGAATTTCCCAAAATCTCACAAATTTAGATGTTTTAGAAAAAGTCTCCAATGTGACAATGTGTCAAATATAAATACGAAATTGCCTATGAACATCAACTTTCAACTTGAGATCACAGGAATTTTTTCAATAATTTTTGTGTAAAAGGCCACTCAGCCGACGTCCCAAAATTATACGTCCACCTCATGTTTTTCGATTACTTTTCACTTCTGTTTCACGAAACTTTTTCATTGTGTAACATTTACTTCTTAAGGGAACGCTATGATAAGAATTGCTGACGAGCTATGAAAAAGCTCAAAATTATTGAACTGGGCAGTCACACCAAATTTTGACCAAAGTCGCGCCGTACTCAGGAAATTCTTCAGATATTTACATGATATGGAGCTCAGAAGAGTTCCGGGATCCCTCCTTGCTTTTCGATGGAAACAAAGGCCGTGTCACAGAGAGAAACATCCACTTTCTACCAAGCCGTGCTCTGTCATCGAATCTTCTTGAGAACTTTATGTCTCAACGGACAATGTTTCATGCGTGTAAAGGAATCCCAAGTTCATTCTTGAGTGGAAAATGTGGAAGGCATCATCTGTGGCAAGAAACCGTTTCGAAAATTTGGGCCGACCCTCGCATGAACGCGCACTCGAGCCGACTTAAGTGGGTCCGCTTTTGCTTGATGTGTTTTAGCACTTGTCAGCTTTCTCCACATGTTTTTCTTTCTTCTGACAGTGCTCCGCCAAGAAGAAAACCATCATGGAAAAGAAAAACATATGGAGAGAAAAGCAGACAAGTGCTCCAAATTTATCAAGGCTCGAGTCGGCTCGAGTGCGCGTTAATGCGGCCTTGGTTTCCATCGAAAACCAAGGAGGGATCACCGGAACTCTTCTGAGCTCCATATCACGTAAAATATCTGAAGAATTTTCTGAGTACGGCGCGACTTTGGTCAAAATTTGGTGTGACTGCCCGGTTCAATAATTTTGAGCTTTTTCATAGCTCGTCAGCAATTCTTATCATAGCGTTCCCTTAAGAAGTAAAATGCCAACACAACGAAAAAGTTTCGTGAAACAGAAGTGAAAAGTAATCGAAAAACATGAGGTGGACGTATAATTTTGGGACGTCGGCCAAGTGGCCTTTTACACAAAAATTATTAGAAAAATTCCTGTGATCTCAAGTTGGAAAAGTTGATGTTCATAGGCAATTTCGTATTTATATTTGCACATTGTCACATTGGAGACTTTTTTAAAACATCTAAATTTGTGAGATTTGGGAAATTCTTAGGTGGAATTATAATTATGGGACGCAGTGTATTTTTGTTTTCCACTTGTCTTTTTTTGCAGAGATGAGCAACCGTGGGGAATATTTCATCAACTTGGGAACTTCAAAGCACATTTGCAAGGTATCAGTAAACAGAAACACAGAGCACTGGATACGAATCTCACAACATCGTTACCTGCGACGTTGGGTATCGAGTGGCACTGTGAATGGAGCTTCGGATAGACAAGATGCAAGTTGTAAAATAGAAAACCAGTAATCTCGCTAAATGCTATACTTACCCATATAGCCCTTGAGATTGCTAGAGCCAGCTGCGCCATTTGCCCGTCTGCACGTGAATACGCTACTGGTATCCGTACCCGATAGCTAAGCTGAGGTGACCGGAGGAGATGCTGATCTAAAAAGCCATAGCCGGACATGGCAGTCTTCACTCAGTAAAACATGAGAGAATATTCTTGACCATAGCGGATAAAGACGTAATAAACCGTTTTGAACAGCATACCGCTAAAGCACTTTGTACACCAATACCAGTTCGTTGACGCACGTTCGATAATAATTTCTTCACCACATTCACCACATACCGCTGTGAACACCGAAGCACTGCGAAGATATTCAGTGGTTCTTAGTGCATTCAAGTCCGCTTCCACGAAACTAAAATTAATTGAATGCTAGAAGAAAACCTTGAATCGAATATTCACAACCAAGAGAACTTTCAATTGTGTTCGAAAAAGTTCACGCGCATTAACCCTTTGACGACCGCCGTTATGAATGCGTCACTTCACTTCTTTCTAAATTTTTTCATCAATAATCATTAACTCTCCAACAATTTCACTATTAGTAATTAGCGCATTATTCCGCGAATTCGATAATGTATTTGTGTAGTTTTGAAACATAAAAAATGCCAAAATAAACCCCTAAAAACGTGTCGCCACCGAGCGAAAGTGTGGCCCACCGGCGGGCCACACGGTCGTCAAAGGGGTAATGTAACAATCCCGAGACTGGCCATGTTGTCATCGTCGACAACCCCCTGCTGTTATGTGAAAGCCCAGTCCCCGTCATCATATGGGGCAGTGCGATGAATTGTTCTGAGGGTCGCTCACTCTAGACAACTACAGCGCTGAGAGCGGCCATTTTCTCCTCATAATAATTTCACTGGGCCATCGCTTTATTGTTACAATAAAAGAGCTATCAAACCTGTCTTCCAGCACCCACCCTAGTGACCTCGTGCATCAGTAGTTCACTGGTAGAATGCTCGCCCACCACGCGAGCACACCGAAATCATTTCTTGGCCACGACTATTTTCTTTCTATTATCTCTACGGATTTTGTTAAGTATCTTTTTTATAATTTTGATGTCTTCCAAATCTCGCTATCTTCCGCATACTTATAAAAACATTCTGTATAGTATATGCTTCAGTACGGAGCTTATGCGAGACAAAAAAAGATCAACACTCATCTCATCTTCTCTGCTCGCTTGTCCCTACCATATATAATGCGCTAAGTTTGTCTGTCTGTCTGTCCGTCTGTCACGAAATTCGGTATTAAGCGAACAACAACCTACAGGGTCCAGGTCAAGTTTGGGATGGGTGTACCATATCTCTAGAAGTAAAAACACACATCAGCCTAAGCGGAGCCCCGCCCACAGTGGGCGTGGCGTGCGAAATCGGTTGATTTCAAATTCAGTCACAAAACAGCCTCGAGACTGGGGACAAAAGTGGGCATAGGTGTGCGTTGGTAAGCCAGATCGAATGGGGAGACCCACCCCCGGTGGGCGGGGCGTTCTCTAAAAAAGCTAAAGGTTAGGAGGAGACCTACAGAGTGGAAAATAAATTAAGTGTAGGGAAGCAATGTCTAAGGTATTTCCAGCACACATGATGTGAACGGAGGTCCGCCCACAATGGGCGGAGCGTGTCCTGAAGTAGACGACGTTTTCTACAAGAGCTCATAAATCGGCTCCGAGATGACTTAGAGACCGGAAAACAGTGGATAGAGGTTAGGAGGGAGGAGAAGCTAAATGTCAAGGCTGGGCGTGGCTTACACCAAAGTGGGCGGAGTTTGCAACCAGGCTTATAACTCGGTTCCTAGGAGTCCCGGGTCCGGGAAAAAAGCGTATAAGGGTTGGCAGAGGGAAGGGGTCAACCGCTGTTGGCGGGCGGAGCATGCATTAAAGTGGGCGGAGTTTGCCACGGTACTTCATAACTCGGTTCCAATAAGTTCCGGAGATGGGAAAAAAGTAGGATGGAGGTTGGGAAGAGATGATAGTCAACTGATATCAGTGGGCGAGGCATGCACCAAAGTGGGCGGGGTTTGCCACAAAGATACGTAGCTCGATTTCGTCCCCTACAAGACCTCATAATTCGGCTCCGAGATGACTTAGAGACCTGAAAAACGTGTATAGAGGTGAGAGGAGGAGTAGAGGTTGAATGTGAACGCTGGGCGTGGCACACCCCGAAGTGGGCGGAGTTTGCCACCACTCTCATAACTCGGTTCCTAGAAGTCCCGGCGACCGGGAAAAATGTGGATAAGGGTTGACGGAGGGAAGGGGTTAAATGCTATTGGTGGGCTAAGCATGCACCAAAGTGGGCGGGGTTTGCCAAGAAAATTCATGACTCATAACGTCTTCTACAAGACCTCATAATTCGGCTCCGAGATGACTTAGAAACCTGAAAAAAAA